ATTCCAATATGAAGGCACTTGCAAGGTTACTGGATGTACTTATTTTTAAAAATTAAAAACAATCCTGTTTTCATTTTTATATTGTTGTTCACCTGTGCACTTGACTATAAATTCAAAATGAGTAAAATAACCTTAAAATTTTATTATTACAAAGCTACTATCTAAAAAAAAATTGTAAAGTACTTTATGAATAGTAAATATTTTCAATAAAAAACAACTAACATTTTGATAGCATATAGTGAAAATAAAGCATGTCTGGAATGATACTCTATATGATGAGATGTATCTTACTTACCAAACTCCTTGGGAACTGTTATAGAATAAACACAATTATGTCCCACACTGTAATTTTTTGGATAGTTTGGTGATAGAACAGTGCCTTCTGAACCTGTAGAATGACTTCCACAAGGTGCTGGAAATAAAAAAAAAATGTTTAAAAAATATTATTTTTAGAAAAACATGTAAAAATTCATACTATGACTATTTTCATGCTATAAAAATTATGGCTACTGGATTTTAAGGAATATCATTTATTTCCATCTTTTAACAAGGTCCCCACTGTCAAATATTTTAAAAATCAAAAATTGTGCACATGCAATAGAAAGCTTCTTTTTAAGTATTCAGATTTACTCTTCTCAGAAACAAAGTAATATAATAATGTTGCAATGGCACTATCTATCTCTAAAGGTAATAATGGTGGCCTGCTTTCATTTATGATAAAAGTATAATCATCTCTTTTATAATGATGAGAAATTACACATGCAGTGGGAAATTGTTTTACTCACCACGAGCCTTTGAAACTCTACTCAAAATCAACCTTGATTATGCTACCACCAACTGAGGTACTTCTATACACAGCACAGGGATGGCTGTACAAACACATTCATCCATTCATCTAAGTAAAATATTCTCTCACCAATCTCTATCTGCTTATGGTTTACATTTAAATCAGAAGAGTTGCTGATGGTGCACAGAGAGAGACATTATTGCTACCTCAGTCCCAAATGTGCTACGTTCCTAAAAAAGATGAGGGTGAAACCAATGTTTCTGGAAAATTTGTAGATAGTTGTTCTGTTTTTCACAAGATAGGCGGATGCTTTGGGATTTGTAGTTCTGGAAGACAGAGAAAGATCTGGGCTACCAAAGGAGTTATAGGTATCAAAAGCAAAAGATGAGAGTTGATATTATTTAAATGAATGAGATCTCCCAGAAAAGTATGTAGAATGAGAAAAGATGGCCAAAGAGGAGGTCAGAGAATGCCAAGGTAGAATTAGTGAGAGGGTGGCTACAAAGAATTTAGTCTCTTGGGAGTCAATGGGGAGGAAAGTTTCAATTAAAAGAAAGTGTTCAAAATCATCATGTTGCAAAGCGGTAATAAATGAAAAAGGAATTTGAGGTGGCTTGGCGGTCTAGAGTATTAGGTAGCAGGGAGCAACTTCTCTATGCCTCTGGTCTCCTCCACGTGGGGTTTTGCCTAGGCTTGCTGGCCTGCTGGCTCCCCCTTACCCCATGGAGATGGAATGATGGGTGAGCCCAGGACAGAAACTTTACTTCTGGTTGGGAGCCATCCTGCCTGTAAAGCAGCTTGCTGGTCTCCTCTACAGCCTATTTAAGGGTGAATCTGTTGAGGGGGTGGCCATGGTTGTTGGGAGAGACCTGCAGCTGCATAGGAAGCCCATTGTTACTGCTCATCAGCTTTATCAATATTAAAGCTGATGCTCTGCCTTCCTTCAGCTTATCACTTAATTCGCCTAGAATTTGTGTAGGGAGGAGTCCCTTCAAACACCAGAAGGGAACTTTTTGGTATTATTGATACGGTAGTTTTAACCAGAGCCACTTTCTGCAAATTACAGCCAGCAAACCAAATCCAGCCTGTACCAAAGGAAGTTTTCACATTTTTAAAGAGTTTAAAACAAATGAAAAAAATAAATCAGAATACATCAAAGAGACATATGTGGTCAGCAAAGCCCAAAATATCATCTGGCTCTGTACAGAAAAAGTTGCTAACCCTTGAACTAGAGTAGAGAGGGGTAGCTAGGTTGTAGTTGGATGAAGAATAAGTGGTTTATAAAGAGATACAAAAGTAATCAGAATCTTAACCGTAAACAGAAGGAGAATGTAGGGAGTAATTGGGGGAAGATGCAAAGCAGAATGAGTTTTTGTTATTGTTGTTTTGTTTAACAGGGAGGACAGAGTCATTAAAGAGGGAAAATCTGGAGCACTGACTTAGCGGCTTGGGAAAGATCAAAAACTAAACTGGAGTGATTAAGTTTAGAAAGCATTAATGACAGTCCTCTGCGACTTGAGAAAAAGAGCTGAATAAGACTGAAAATACATAGGTTTAGGTTTTATGCTGGGAATTTATTGGAGTTAATGCCTGATTTTCCTTTTAAAGAGAGCTGAATGCAATGGTGTGTTAGGTGGCTTGAGAAGAGTCACGACAGTTCGAAAAGTTCAAAACATTTGATGGATTTCTGGCCAAAGTTTAAAGATACAGCAATATATTTAAAACACACACATACAAAGCAAACAGTAAGTTGTACTGAGTTGGGTGGCTAATGAATATTCTACCTTTTTTCCTTTTAATGTTCTATAAAATGGTAATAAATAGTTAGAATTAAACATAGTAAAATTAGAACTCCCTAGAACAACAAGTTGACAATGATAATAATAACCAAAGAAGCACCGCTCTCATCGCTCATTATTATTTGAGATTAGTCAGGTGTATTCTTATTTCAGCACTGATAACTTTATTCAACTGATAATAGTACTGATGAGAGAATCACTCAAGAATAAGCAGCATGTTTTATGTTAATTTTCTTTCTGATCTTAAGGTGCTCCAAAATGACAATACTTTGAATGTACGTGACAAAAGCTCTTATTTTTATATTTTGAAAGAATGAATAGAAATGAGAGGTTCTAACTCAAGTTCAGCTTTGTGACTTAGTCATGAACATTCTGCCATTCTACATTACTATGCATCTGATAGCCTCAATATGTTTTGAATATTTTATTTTGCATAATGGACTCTCGGGACAGCTCTTGTTAAAAATCTCATTTATAAATATGAAAAAAATATGAAGTTTTTTAACCACTAATGAATATATACAAGGTTGCAGTATAATCACAGCTCTTTATGGTAACTAATATTATGTTAGTCTTTGTTATTTGTACTGGTAGCAATAATTTTACACTTTTTCTGGTCAGTGCTTACAGCATGGCCCAATTTATAGTAAATTATGTTGAATATTGTGGTGACTGACAATATTTTATGTAGTATGTAAATAAGGGAAAATTCACTATGCTGTGAGGTACAGATATACTATAATCTGTTTTATGTTTATAAAAATCTAAATGGAATAATGACTAAGCCAGGCCAGCTTTACTAATTCTTGTAATGTTGGTTCCTAGAAGCTTTCTGTATTCTTTCTTCCTGTTTTAATTTCATTTTATTGGCTAGTACAGAAAAGGTCAGCCGTTATTTTTCTGGCTCTATTAACAATCAGTAGAAGATAAAAGCAAGACAGAACTTTTAATTCTATGCTTATTTTTGCCATTTGACTATACCTGTGGGCCTTTTGTCAAACTGGCTATGTTTTTCTAAACAGCCTCTATCCATTGTAATGCAAAGAACTCACCTGTTCTTGATTATAACTTATGTGATACGTATGACTACTCTTAAATCTCTATTTTAATAGCATTTTTGTAGAACACATGTATTATGAGAAGAAATGGTTCTGTGATTAAGTAAGTTTAGGAAATACATGGGTAAAATAAATAAGGTTCTATGCTTTGAGACTTAACTGAGACTTTAGTAAGGTTTGGGGAATGTCATACTTGTTCTTACAAACTTATTTGATCATGGAGGCTCTCTTTCATCTCACAGGACCAATGTTCCTCAGAACATACTTTTCGAAATGCCAAACTGCTAATTCTAAAATGTGCTATTGCTTTGACAATAATTCTAACATTTATATTGTTTGCTGTAATTATGATTTCACAGCACTAAAGAACTGTGTTTTATGTATACATATAAAACCTAAGTTGTTTTTTTTTGTTTTTTTTTTTTTTTTGCGGTACGCGGGCCTCTCACTGTTGTGGCCTCTTCCGTTGCGGAGCACAGGCTCCGGACGCGCAGGCTCAGTGGCCATGGCTCACGGGCCCAGCCACTCTGCGGCACGTGGGATCCCCCCGGACTGGGGCACGAACCCGTGTCCCCTGCATTGGCAGGCAGACTCTCAACCACTGCGCCAACAGGGAAGCCCCAAACCTAACTATTTTAAACACTTAAAATGTCAAACTTAGCCTAATATAAAATGCCATTATTCTTTTTTGTAACAATTTTTCATTGAGGTATAGTGAATTTACGGTGTTGTGTTAGTTTCAGATGTAGACAAAGTGATTCATACACACACACACACACACACACACACAAATATATATATTTTTTTCTTTTTCAGGCAAAATGCTGTTATTCTTGACACTTTTCCCCTGACTCTTAGAGTTCAATATATCACTGATTTGTTGCTCGTACTCTTCTGTAGCTTTTCAGCCTCTCTCTCCTCTGCCACTGTAACTGTTGCAAACCAGACTCCCAACAGTTTCCATATGGGCTCTTTCAACAGACTCTCAGTTCCACTCATCCCCACAAGTTCTTACCATGGCTAGTGATTTTTCTAACACATAATAAGTCTTATAATGTTTCTTTTCTCTTCCTAGAACAGTTCTGATACACAGTATATTCTCCATAAAGGTCTGTTGGATGATTAAATAAACTACGCTTGCCAAGACCATGGTACTATAAAATGGTGTTCCACAGTCAGCACATAACACAAACATTTCACTTGGTTGAAATTACCCCATAAATTTACTTGAATCCAAGACAATCAAGATATACCCTCTCCTGCTTCTGCTGCTCCTGGTGCTGCTTGTGTGCTCGTTCCGTGCGGACCTGGTACCTCTTTTGTGAAGTGGCAGCTGAAGAGACTCCGGCGCTCGCCATGGCCAACGAAAAGCCCAGGGAAGGAGTCAAGACTGAGAACAACGATCATATTAATTTGAAGGTGGAGGGGCAGGATGGTTCTGTGGTGCAGTTTAAGAGTAAGAGGCATATGCCACTTAGTAAACTAATGAAAGCCTACTGTGAACACAGGGTTTGTCAATGAGGCAGATCAGATTCTGATTTGATGGGCAGCCAATCAGTAAAGCAGACACATCTGCAGAGGTGCCAGAGGTTGTTTTATATTCAAAATTACCAGTTTTTAGAAAGAATTTTTCGTGGTTGGAAATGGAGGATGAAGATACAATTGATGTGTTCTGGCAGCAGACAGGAGATGTCTACTAAAAAGTGAACCTGCTACTTTACTCCAGAATTCTGTTCCTCCAGACCAAGAAGACATTCTAAATTAGAAAACCACAATTAGGTTTCACCACATCCTGACCACTACAGTATAGTTTTCTCCACTCTTTCATTTTCCCCACCCCCATTCCTTTATTGTACCTAAAGTAACTGATATATGTGTACAAGCATGTTGCATTTTTTTAAACTAAATGGCCAATGGTATGTTTTGATCGACATCAAATGGAGTTGGGATGGAGAAAAATACTGGTTCTGTGAAAATACCCCCTTTTCTCCATTAGTGGCATGCTCATTCAGTCCTTATCTTTATATTCCAGTAAGTTATTTTGCTCTCACTGTTTTTTTTTTTTTTTAAAAAAAGAACATAAAAATCCTTGCATACCTTGCCTGATTGGAGAATTTTAATGTTTTTCACTTATTTGTCTTTAAGTAGGGATAAATTACTCTAAAATAAATAAATCCTAGATAGTTTTCCCTTCAAGTCAAGTGTCTTGCTGTTTAAATAAACTTCCTGTTTAAAATGGGAAAAAAAAAGATATACCTTCCCAATAAATCCATGGAAGCCTATGTTTTTTTTTTTTTCTTTCTGGGATTGAAATCTTTGCTGTTTCTCTGATTACCAGGAATCACTGTTGCTTTATATTTAGAGACACTATTATGTGTAAGATATGTGTCTTTAAACATTGGAAATATATTTAATCATAAGATTTTTACAATCTGAGAGCCAGTCACATGGACACTGAGTTCCACTGAGGGAATGGCAAACTCATACCCACCATTCCACAGTAGCAAATCCTTGCTAACATTTTATCAGTCTGTAGCATACCCTCACTGAGGGAGTGAAATCACCCACGCAATTTAATTTTGTATTATTTTCCTTGTTCCCTCTTTTCCTGTTTGTTTTTTTAAAAATCCTCTTTTGGATGAATTTGTATGGTTTGATTTGTACAAGTAACATATGCCCATGCTGGAACTATACTGTGTATACTTGTGTTACTCTTGAACTACGATGTGGTGATACAACAGACAGATGTGGTTATCTCTAGGAAAATCAGCGGATGAGAATGAAATTAAATGTTAAGGCTGCTAGTGCAATAAAAAGGACTTCCCACCTATGGTTTGATCATGTGTGTGGGATGGAGGAAGAGGACTGAAGAAGAAGAACTGAGATACCTTCCCACTGAAGGTAGGAAGAACAGAAGAATCTCAAATCACTTACATTGTACATTGAAGAGGTACTTCTTAAATGTCCAGAGACTTTATATTATATACACTGCAGCCTTAAGCTACTCACAACTTCAAACCTCTCTTTTCACTTGTGTAATGTATAATTTATTAACAAATATTCTCTATAATGAAAATTATTATATAATGTATAAATTTTTCTCTGCAAGCAAGTTAGGTACTTTCAAAAGTGATGGATTCTTGCAGGTCACAAAAGAGCAATATGGTATATTAAATAGACGATTTACTAGATGTCGCCTGTGACTCCTTCAGGTTGAAAGAACTGCTGTACTTTACAGAAGTGCTAGTCCACTTCTAGTAAATTACCTATGCTCTGATATAGCCCAATTGAATATCCCAAATCATAAATCCTGGTATAGAATGTGTCTGAAAGCTCTATCTCTCATGGAGTCTTTTTTTTTTAAGAGAAGGACTTATGATAACCCTCTGTGATATGAATTTATAATGCAGACAGCTGTTATTCTCAGTATTGACTTTAAGATTTAAATTACTATTGCTTTTTTCTCTCCTTTGTTCAAAACCTTCATCTTAGCAAAAATACCTAACTATTCAGCTATTCATTTCATGTGCCTCTTCATGGTTCCTATATAAGTAAACAAACTTCATTTTGTATATCTGCCTTAGATAATAAACCTCCCATAAGGCTATTTTATCATAATGGTAATAAATATTACTTTAACTTATAAACTATTACTTTAAGTCACATTTATTTTACTCTTCATTTTCCTCTGCACTATCTTTGACACATTCAAATTATGTATCTGGAAAACTAAGAATAATATTGCTAAGGATAATAAAAAATATTGCTAAGGATAATAATAAAACTAAGGATAATATTGCTAAGGATAATAAAAAATATTGTTAAGGATAATAAGCAATAATAATATTGCTAAAATAATAAAATATATTGCTAAGGATAATAATAAAAAATATTGCTAAGGATAATAATAATAATAATTATAATAAATAGAGTTTTCTATTGTTTCATTTGTTCACTGAAAAGAAAAAGAGCAAAAATCAGTCTTCATAACTTGTGAATTAATTTTGTGTTCTAATTCCGCACTCCTGTTTAACACTAAAAAAAAAATCCATCTTAACGTTATAATCGGTGGTTTATAAACCATTTTAATGACTCGGTAAGTCAACTTAGTACAATATGAGCTTCTATATCTTGTCACCTCACCTCACTAATTGCCTAGATTCATTCATCTGCTTTTGCTGGCTAGGAAAACATTACCTTCACCCTTCAATGCTCTATGAGCTGTGTTCTCCATCATAGAGTACGTTCTTTGAAAAAGAAGAGTTCATTCTGTGACAAAGGTCTATGAATAGATATGTTCCTTTGATAGATCTCCCATGTTACCATATACAAATTCTACTAAAACTAATGGTCTCATGGGTGTTGGTAGTTCATCTATGATACCTACGTCACTGATTTTTAACCTCATTTTCAAGATTGAGATAAAATTTACGTACCATAAAATTCACGCTTTCAAAGTGTACAATTGAGTATCTTTTTAGCATATTCAAAAAGCTGTGTAACCAACCCCACTATCTAATTTGAGAATATTTTTGTGATCCCCCCCAAAGAATTCCTATGCTAATTAGCAGTCACTCCCCATTTGCTCCACTCCCAAGACCCTAGAAATCACTAATCAATGATTTGTAGGAAACTGTGTATGAGAAGGCAAGTTCTTAAAATGATTTTAAGCAAATTATTAGTGCATTTTTAAAACTACAATCCCTTTTCATTGCTTACTTTATTTCTCTGTCATTGATTGTTAGTGATAGCTGTCTTTTATTATTAAAAAATTACTTAAGACTGCTAACATATTAGTATAAAGTAAGTTTAGAGAGAAAAAAAGAAACTTGTAACAATTTTTTAACTCCTACCTGATCTTCTCACAAATGCTGCTTTCTCAGAAAAGTTTTTTCCCTGTCTCTGGACTAGCTCAGAAGCCCCCATCATATAGCATTCCATCAATTAGTTTCAGGACATTGATTACAACTTGTAATTATATATGTATTTGTATGGCTCTTTGATTAAGGTCTGTTTCTATCTCTTGACTCCATGATCGATTAAGTCAAAGTTTCCATGTCTTTTTTGCACACTGTTTATAACTCTGGAGCCTAGTGTAGTGTTTGTGTATATAATGGACTTCTAATAAATATACACCATAAATATTAGGAAGAATAAAATATACATTAGATTAATATCTTGCTGTTGACTAAATGCACAGCATGTAAAACTCATAGATTTTTCAACCCCTTTGTTTAGGGTAGCACAACAAATGCAATATAAAACCCAAAGCTTTGGAATCAGAAAGGTGTAGTTTTGAATTCCAGCTTCACTATTTACTGACTGAGTAGCCTCTCTTACTGAAGAGAAGAAAATTCAAACTGGAAATGAAACAGGAGGTGTCTGTTCCATATGGCATACGATGTGGTCTTAGATGAAATGAATTAAGAAACTCTCCTGACCTACTCCAGAATCTCTTGGAGGTGATATGAGGCTTTCATAAACGCCTTAGGAAGATAAACTAACCTCATCAATCCCGAAGGAATACAAAACTTAGAGAAAGGGCAGGAGGAACTTTCCTGGTGTTTCTACCAAAACTTTTCCCTTGAGAGAGACAGGGATGCCTTTTTTTTTTTTTTTTTTTTTTTTTTTT